TGCCCCTCCTGTAACTCCTCTTGCCCCACCTGCAACACACTCCTGCGCCTCCTGTAATCTACTCCCCTCCTGTAACCCCTCCTGCCCTCATGTAACCCACTCCTGCTCCCCTGTAAACTCCTGCGCCCCTGTACCCCTCCTGCGCCCCCTGCCCCTCCTGCGCCCCTGTAACCCCTCCTGCGCCTCCTGTAACTCACTCTTGCCCCACCTGTAACCCACTCCTGCGCCTCATGTAATCTACTCCTGCCCCTCCTGTAACTCACTCTTGCCCCACCTGTAACCCACTCCTGCGCCTCCTGTAATCTACTCCTGCTCCTCCTGTAACTCACTCCTGCCCCTCATGTAACCCACTCCTGTGCCCCCTTTAACCCACTCCTGCGCCCCCTGTAACCCACTCCCGCGCCCCCTGTAACCCACTCCTGCACCCCCTTTAACTCACTCCTGCGTCTCCTGTAACCCACTCGTGCTTCTCTTTCACAACCGTCACTGTAACCCACTTCTACGCCTCCTGTAACCCACACCTGCGTCTTCTGTAACCCAACCCTGCACCCCTATAACCCACTTCTGCGCCTCCTTCACCACCGTCATCGTACCCACTCTAGGAACGATCGTACAAACACCTCGGTGACAGACAGGTGATCCCCGATGTGAAATTCACTCCTCGGGACCATGACAAGCTGGACGCAAAATTGGTTTTATTTGTTGAGAAGACAAGTTCCAGGTGACGCCAGTGCAGGGTGTCAGGGGGCGTGATGGAGGATCTGCTCTGGGTTATATGTTCCGTCTGGGAAATATAAGTAGGTTTCAGATAACACACACACACACACACACATGTGAGAGGCAATGTGTGAACACCAGCTTGACGTGATGAGCGTCTGGTTCCGCGCTTCAAGATGTTACAGCGGCGGAGGTAATAATGTAATGTTTCTATCTATCTATCTATCTATCTATCAATCTATCTATCTGTCTGTCTGTCTGTCTGTCTGTCTGTCTGTCTGTCTGTCTGTCTGTCTATCCGTCAATGTCCGTCCATCAATCTCTTTCTTTCTCATTTCTCATTTTACGTGTTTTATGGTTATTTCGTTAACTGATATTATTTGTTTATTTTATAGTTTTCACTTCAGTAACCCCTTCCACCACCACCACAAAAATTATAAACAAATTCAAGGTTTTGCTTCCAAACATCCACATGACACTGGGAGGTCAAGGGTCATGCTCGTGATCAGAGGTCAAGGTCCTTTTTGGGGGTTACATTCGGTTAGATTATGTTGGTTTAGGTTAGATTAGTTTTGGTTGGATTAAGTTAGGTTGGATTAAGTTAGATTGGGTTGGATTGGATTAGATTGGGTTAGAATCGGTCGTGGAGAATTACCATCCTGGCTTCCAAAGCTATTTGGAGTATCTCCTTCAAATGTTCAGTTTAATCCTGGAAAACCTGCTTGGTCACCTGTCGAAAGTTTTGGGGGGCGTCAGAGTTGTTACTGGTGGGTGTGAGTTATTGCTTTCTAGTTCTCTCGTCAGACTCCGGCCGTCACCTGAAGACTAATGTCGTGGAGAAACTTCTTGTCAGGGTCTTGAGGTCATCAGAGGTCAGGGGTTCTAGGTCATAATGCGATGATTCTTCTTGTGTTTGGGCCGAGGTCATCACAGGTCAGGATCATGAGGTCATAGTCTGAGGCAGCTTCTTATGCTTGAGCCGAGGTCATCACAGGTCAGAGTCTTGAGGTCATAGTGTGAGGAAGCTTCTTGTGTTTGGGCCGAGGTCATCACAGGTCAGGGTCTTGAGGTCACAGTGTGAGGAAGTTTCATGTTTTTTGCCGAGGTTATCACAGGTCATTATTATACATTGCCGATTTAACTTAAAATTAAGAACTCATGGCTTCACCTGGATGAAATAAAGTCTGGTACGTACACACACTCCAACACAGCATCTCTGCAGTTGGACCCGATTCCCGTTGTCTCGGTACGGTTGTCAAAATCCTTCGTCTGTTGTGTCATATTGTCTAACACAACATTGTAAAGATCTTTTTTTTTTTTAGTTTGTACATTAAATTTGACCTTTGGGGACACCTTTTTTTGTTCTCTTTAGGTATGTTTATTGATAATGTCTTTTTTTTACTTATTTATATTTACCTGTTTTAAAATATTTGTTTATTGTATTTATATTTATTGATTTTGTCTGTTTATTTACATGTTTATTTATTTTTATTTGTTTATTTTCATACATTTATTGTATTTACATAATAGAATTTAGTAGTTGCTGTGGTGAGTGAACACTTTGGATAAGAAGAGATAAATACATTCTTATTTGGTAACTACTTTGTACCACTTGAAGACTAGGCAGTAGGCACCCTCACTAACGTAACCTGACCCAACATAGCGTACATAACCTAACCTAATCAGGGCCCCTCCCTACCATCCCTTTTCATTGGAATGTTTTATTTTCTCAAGTAAATTTAATCTACAATTTATAGCCGAGCTGGACTAGAGCGCTCTGTGTGTGGGGGTGCGTGTGTGTTTTGTTTTCATGTTATATGCCAGGATTCAAAAACGTGGGTTGAGGTGAAAAAAGGTGACCGTGTGTTAGGACAGATGAGACCGTGTGTTAGGGCAGTGAGACCGTGTGTTAGGACAGGTGAGACAGGTGTGACCGTGTGTTAGGGCAGGTGAGACCGTGTGTTAGGACAGGTGAGACCGTGTGTTAGGGCAGGTGAGACCGTGTGTTAGGACAGGTGAGACCGTGTGTTAGGACAGGTGTGACCCAGGTGAGACCGTGTGTTAGGACAGAGACAGGTGAGGTGTGACCGTGTGTTAGGACAGGTGAGACCGTGTGTTGGGCAGGTGAGACCGTGTGTTAGGACAGTGACTGTGTGTTAGGACAGACCGTGTGTTAGGACAGGTGAGACCGTGTGTTGACCGTGTGTTAGGACAGGTGTGAGTGTGAGACCGTGTGTTAGGACAGACCGTGTGTTAGGACAGGTGAGACCGTGTGTTGTACCGTGTGTTAGGGCAGGTGTGACCGTGTATTAGGGCAGGTGAGACCGTGACCGTGTTAGGACAGGTGTGACCGTGTATTAGGGCAGGTGAGATAGGTGTGACCGTGTGTTAGGACAGGTGAGACCGTGTGTTTGTTGTGATTGTGTAAACTATCAGTATAAGGGAAACAAACAGGAAAGACTTGTAGTGTATATTTCGGAGTTAAAAGACGGGTCACAAGGGTCTATATTTCAGAGTTTTTACCATTAATTGACGACAAAATCTGGCAATATAGATGTACAGTATATATTTCTTTTATATATTTCAAAAGTTTAATACTCCAATAGTTAAAAAAACAAAACATACTATACACCCGGGTTGGCCTACAGATATCCACTTAAAACCTGTTGTAAATTTATGTTTTAATGAATAATATTAATCTTGATGGGGGCAGCTGTGGTGAGTTTTGGCCGTAGCGGAGGTTACTGCCTTGAACTATCCTGGGTGGTGTTGTGCACATGTTGAGGCGGAGTTAAAGGGGTGGGTGCCGAGTTTTTATCTGGGTAGAAAACACACACACGCACACTATCTCTCTCTCTCTCTCTCTCTCTCTCTCTCTCTCTCTCTCTCTCTCTCGTGTGTGTGTGTGTGTGTGTGTATATATGCAGAATTAAACTGAAACATGGTATTGCCTATTGCCCGTTCTCTAGCATTATGTTAATCAGTCCCTTACACGTAACCGGTTTAGAGAGAGAGAGAGAGAGAGAGCAGCTTACATTTAAATATATGCACCACAAAGGAAGCATTGCCACGCTGAAAAGTTATGGCTTGCTTTAAAAATGGTTAACCTTTTTCAGAATTTAAAATATTCTCTCATTATGGTTCAAGACCAGACCAGACCAGATTAGCTTAGTCCAGACTATCCAGTTCGGGGCAGCAATGTAACGGCGTGTGGGAGGATACTGGGTTGGGGGTGAAGAATGGGTGGTGGATATGGCAGATTAATTAGGTGAGGATGGAAGGAAAGAAACAGGGAAAGGTGAGGAGGGAGGGAGAGTGGATGAGAGAATTTTTGGGAGTGAGTAGGTGGACGGAAGAGTGTGAAGGTTTTGAAAGTGGAGGATGAATATTAGAGTGGATGAGAGGAGAGGGATGAAGAATGATTCAGAGAGTGGCTGAGGACTCCCGAGAAGGATTACAAAGGACTGCAAAATAAAAATAGGTAGAAGGAGGCCAAGGCGAGGATGGCTCACGTTCACAGGAGGTGGAGGGTGGCCGGGTGTAGAGGCGTGGGGGGAGAGGAGGAGCGAGGAGAGCTGTTGGCCTTGTGTACCTCTCACCTCTGCACCATAATATTTTGGAAGCTTAGGTAAATACTCGTAGATTTGCAACTGAGACGGTTGAGGGCCCCCAGAGAAACGTGACCTTCTCTAGCTCATGATGATAATTGTGGTGTTGGTGATAGTTGTGTTGGTAGTTGTGATAGTGGTGTTGGTAAGAGTGGTGTAGGTGGTTGTGATGGTGGTGTTGATGTTAGTGATGTTGATGATAAAAAGACGTATAAATGATAATTGGTTTTTAGGTGCTGGTGAAGGTGGCGGTGACGGTAATCTGTGAGTAAGGTGCACTTACTGGAGATGTCACTACCAGCTGACCGGGTAACTATGGTATCTGTGCGTCGCCTTCGGGCTGCCAACACAAACAAGGGGCCAGTCTTGTCTCCTCACTCTGTGCGCCCCCTGACTCAGCTGGGGAATGTTGGGATTACAGGCACTACACTCATGAGGGGGGAGGAGACCTGCTGAAGGTTGAGGGAAGCTTTGTATAGTATGAGATAGAATGGGACAGCCGCTGATAGAGTGATCATCCTGTGCTGCATCAAGGTAGTCTTCAGTAACGAGCTTGATGGATATTCTTTGTGTATCCCTTTGAAGCCTACAATAACACATTTTACATATAAAACCTTGAAGTAGTTATTTTTTTTAGGAAAATTTGAATAATGTTTATATTATTCTTACCTTATAGAAAATGAAGAATGAAGCAGGTGGTGAGGAGTGTAGCGTCACGTCTGCCCTGAGTGGTGACAGTGACGAGGACGCCGTCCTGAGGCACCTTTCTGTGCTGACTTTTTGGATTCATATTGTGGCGGGCGGGGGGCTGCCTCGCCTCTCATACACACATACTTCGGTCAACTTTACTCCTGTCTAACACTCAATTCCTTGACTTTAGCATTACTATCCACTCCTGTAGGACGCGCGTGGGATCTCCCTTTTTAGTGGGACACCCGTGACCTGATGCTCGTGTCATGACAGAACGTCCGCCAGAGAAGTCGAAGCTCTGGTGGCTACACATTCCGGGAAGGTGGTAATTAAGGCTAAGGAAGGAGGTGCCGTTGCCCTTGACATGGGCACCAGCACCCGACACGTACAGTAGCTTCAGGCCTCCGGGTGCCCCCCACGCGACGCAGGTGTAACATGCTCTACAAGTACTAACACCACCTCAGTCAGGTGCTGGCCTAAGATAACTCATATTGGGTTGACCTAAGCTGCGGTAATGACCTCGGACGATACGTTCACAGTCAGGCTGCATTGAGGTCATAATCATATTTGTGTCTGGCGCACGTGGCGCAGCTCGCGCAGTTCCGTAACATCATTGTTATTACCGTTAGGCTTGCGCTTATCAGGCTGCGGGCGCCGCACAGGCGTGTCTGTGATAAGCGCGCAGTGGGAGTTGGTGTCGGACTCTGCGCCGTCAGTGTGGCTTGAAAGGTGGTTAAGGCGAGGCTGTGTGAGGGGCGTGGCAGCGCCGGACTCGGTGTCACCGTGGGTGTCGCCTCCCCTGCCTTCCTCGCCACCCGCGCCATTACTGTCGCCACCACCAGAGCTCAGCAGGCCGCCACACTCGCCTGGTTTCTCTGGCGACACTAAGCCTAAAGCCGCCGCAATTTCGGGGTTCGGCACACACGGATTATCTCCTTGTAATACTTTTATCTTCTGAATCATTTCTTGTATTTCAAAGCGTAATATACCCACAAAACACAACTTGACAAATGCTATGACACAGAATCCGAGTATCATGAGCGTCTCTGCTGAAGTCAGCAGCCACTTTTCTAGATGTGCGGCACAGCCCGTGCCGTGGTAGTCCTTGTCCTCGCCGCTGTCGCACGTCAAGTTACGGTCACGCACGCCACGGCCCTGGTTCTCCAGACGCACGTGGCTCTTGGAATTGTCAATACCAGGCTTCCCTCGATGGTTCGTGGCCACATGCCGTGGCACTTGATCCGCCTGGGTGACGGGAACCTGGCGAGTACCTGACATTGTTCCTTCGCTGTCGTTCTTTACGCAGCAGGACGCCGGCAGCTTGATGGAGTTGTGATTCTGACGGTTTTCCCACCACGTGGTGTTGTAGTCTCGAGGGCCAGTCACGCCACAGCACTTGGCGGCTCTCTGGAGGGCATCCCAGGCCTCCGTCACGTCTGAGTCTCTGCCGTAGTGGTCGCGAAGAGTGGCTCGGGCGTAGGGTCGCATCCCGACTGTCAGGTGGGAAAAGCGGTAAAGCCACACAAGACCCACCACCACGTCCCCCAGCAAAAGGAAGAGCAAGAGAAACCAGTAGATGTTGAGCAGTTTTTGCGAGAGCCTTAGTGCTCCTACGCATCCTAGAGCTTGTAATACGCCCGCTTGCAGTAAGAGCGCCACGTAGCCATAGAGCAAGGTAGGGTGGTAGGCGGGCGGTGAAGGTACCAGTGACAGGTAAGGGTGCGATGCCACGCCCAAGGCAACGCCCATGAAGACGAACACTGACACGAGCAGGACGGCATTGCACGTGTAGATCCACAGTCGGTAGTAACGCATTGCCTTGCGTAGGAACATTACCGCGGCCATGCGAGGCCAGACGCTGGCCGCCCCAGGCGGAGGCAGCAGCGGTGGCGGACCGGGCAGGAGCCACAGTCGCGCTCTGGCGGACCCCCGTGCCCGCCCCCTACACCCTTGACGCCCGCACCGACTTGCTGACGCTGGCCTGGGCACGTGGCGGGGTGCGACACCAAAGGCTTTGCCAGCCTAACTGACGGCAATCTCGAGTTGGAAGGAGGTGGCGCCCTGCCTCCCCCTCAGCTGCCACCGATGACGGGCCGCGGGTATATTTGGCGACCCTTCGTCACGGAGCGCCACCTGTCAACGTTGGCGGCGGCCGCCACTCACGGTCTCCTACTGATCCCCTCTGCCATGGTCTCCCGGGCGTTCCTACCTGTTTGGGAAGTTTCGACTATTGCTCTCAGGTTGCATAGTTAGTGACTGACGCACTATCACTGCCTGGGGATCGAACACTTGTGGAAATTACATTTTTCTAGTTGGGCGGATCACAAACTTTATATGTCAGTAATTTCGTAGAAATGTGGAGTTGAGAATATTTGAAGGTGACACGAACGACAGAGAGTAGGCAGATATCCTGAAGGACTGTGACCCATAATCTGTGACCTCGAGGGGTCGACTGGCTGTGTCTGGTCTCGAAACCTCCTGCAGCACCACGACGTTTATCCAATGATGTCTAGATTTACAGCTTCGTTGGTGTTAGAGTGTTGTCGGAGGTGATGTGAGTCGACTTCTGATGTGTGTATAAGTCATGGTGTGGTCACAGGTCGCCAGGTTGGTGCTGAGTACTGCTTCACGCCACCCGCCCACAGATCCAGTCATGGTCGGCAGCCGCTGACTTGCTGCCACTGGTTGTCGCTGTTACTGTCTGGATGAAGAAGGGGGATGTGGCCTGTTACTACCACCAGTTACTTCTTCCTCGCCTCACTTCCATGTTACCCTCCGCCTGCACAACCTCTCACACCACACCACAATACTAGACAGCAACAGTTAATACTTTAATACATTTCATTTTATTTTGTTAATACTTTGCGAGCGTTTGTGAAGACTTGTGTGGTCAATTAATACTGGAGGAGGTGTTGAGGGGGCGCTAGTTAGTTAATACTAGAAGTAGGACTCGGGATCTCAGTGTTGTCGGCGAGGACTAGACTCTGCCCGTGACTGGTCCTGACTCGCTCGCTGCCGGATCTGAAAGTAAGAAACTCTAATTTAGATTCATATTTAAGACACACTTGCATTACACGGTTAATAATGGTCAAACTTTATTTTGATTTTAATATATTTTTTTCTGTTAATGTAAATTACACCTTTGTTAGGATTCTGCAGATTAAAAATATATAGGGAAAAAATTATATAAATATGTCGTAGTTCCGACTAAATGAAGTATATAGTCCTGGTTACCTACAGGACGACACCAGCCTCCGAATAAGTTATTTTAACCACTTCTTATATTTCTTAGGTACCATGGGTAAAGGGGAAGTTCTGTCTCCGGGGATAACTTTAAAACATACGTCTGCCGTCACCAGTTTTAGCTTTTATTAATAGTCGACTGTGAAGGTTGATAAGGGAACACACACACACACACACACACACACACACACACACACACACACACACACGTGTTTTTAGCCTTATAACTTATTTGTTGTTTCCTTAGTTTTATTTATTTGTTGTTGTTGTAGTACCTTTTTAGTTCTGTCCATTCATAACTTATTGATGGTGAACAGTGACGAAAGAATAGAAGTAAAGCAATGAAGAATAGAACCGGGAAGATAGAACGATGAAGGGGGGCATGAAAACGCAAGGAAGAAGGAGGAGGAGTAATTGGTTGGACAACAGCACCAGGGGGGGTTGGGTGGAGAAGAATATAAAAGAAAGATTAAGAACCCAGGCAGAAGGATTAAATGAAGACAAAATAAGATATGTAACGGTAAGGAATGGCAGAATGATGATGATATAGAATAAAATAAGGAGAAGAATAGAACAGAAGAGAAGGCAGTCACACATTATAGTCAACACTCGCACAGGAAATCGAACACTGGTAAGCGATAACATTCCCACTCCAGGTGTAAACTCGTACAGGTGTCTCCTGATCTGTGATGAGGCGTCAGGTGTAGACTCGTACAGGTGTTTCCTGATCTGTGATGAAGCGTCAAGTGTAGACTCGTACAGGTGTCTCCTGATCTGTGACAAGGCGTCAGGTGTAGACTCGTACAGGTGTCTCCTGATCTGTACGAGGCGTAGTATTGACGTTTAAGTCTGTGTTCATCTTTAATGTATCAATAATTACTTAAGGATGAACACAATCGTGTAACATTATTAAACTATAGGTAAGTGCCAATACCAGCCGCCTCGATACATAAATGAATGACATGAATACGAATGCACCCTTCGTTGTCTTCAGTTAAGATGAAATATTATGACAGCATTAATACACAGGGAAAATAGAGAAGGTAGTCCTTTATTTAGTGAGTGATGGTGGAGCACAGTGGCCGTCCCGGGGTATATGTTGAGACAATATTGGATATTGTCTCAGTCAACAGTAATGAGGATTATGGTAGTTGTTCTTTTAAACGGTAAAATTAAGTTAATTTAATTATGATGCATAGGGATTTTTACTTTTGGATAAGTGTAACATAAGGAAGTAATGATTTGTTATATATATATATATATATATATATATATATATATATATATATATATATATATATATATATATATATATATATATATTGTTACGACCGTGTCGTATTTTTTCTATTTTTTTATATATAACATGCTCCCATGTTCCATATTATTCCTGTAATGATGTGTTAAATTTACTATTATATATTCTAGTCACCTTACCCTGTGCTGGTAAGGTTTTAACTGTCATTATTTGTTCAAGCCCATCTTATTTCTTTATTTTGTATTGTAACCAGCATTCTTTGTTCTCTAACGACCATTTGCATCGTTAAACGACCCACCGGCGGGTCGCGTGGTGGGAGCCGACCTTATATATAGAACCCACCAGCAGACGGAGTTAGTTCAGTTCTCTTGTCATACAGTACACATCCTTTGAGTGTCACTTGTTACTTATACTTAATTTATTTGTGTTGTTCCTGTCGCCACCAATGTGGTATATCTATGTGAGTACCTATTTATGTCTCTGTTTGTGTCCATCAGTATTTGCTTAGTTGTATTCAAGTAATTCAGTGTTGTTTCACGTTAGTTAATTTCAGTGATAGTTTTTATATGTTTATGCAGTGTTAACGTAATCCAATGCTTTATTTTTATTCTTTCGATGTTTCGATGTTTTGTATCACTTGTGTCTTAAAAGTTTCGATGGTGAATCAATTTGTTGTGACAGCCTACGAGGCTCTTTATTGTGTTAATATTTAATTAATTAAATTCTTAAAGGTTTACTTTATTTATTTTTACTCTTTTAATTTACTTCACTTTTTTGTTTGGTTACGCCTAGAACCTGGATATTTAAGTAAATTAAGAGACGGCGTAACAATATATATATATATAGATATATATATAGATAGATATATAGATAGATATATATATATATATATATATATATATATTTATTTATATATATATAATTTGATTTGATTTGATGTGTAAAATTTTAACTTATGGATTAATGTCACATTAGGAATTTATGACGCGCAATATCTTAACTATTTGCAACCCTTGATAATTTTCATTTTTGTGTGACAACATTGAGGTGCAGAGAGCATTTTTTTTTCTTTACGGGGATTAGCCCACCCAGACACAGGTCACTGACCCACATCGGGACCTGGGAGGAGGGGGGGGTGAAATAATAATAATAATAATAATAATATTAAAAATAGAAAATAATAATAAAAACAAATACAAATTTAAATAATATAATAATAATTCATAAATAAATACATATATGAAAAAAATCAAGAATGAGAAACGATTTGTGTATGTTGTGTTGTCAAAGTGTTTGTAAATCCTTCAGTGTCGCAGGTGATCACGGCTTTCTCGTGTCATCGTCACTCACATAGTAATTTTTTTCATAGTTTCTGGCGACAATAACATGGCAGGAATTCATTTGACGTTATCAGAGAAGCTAGATGTAAACAAAATTCGGTCGTTTACAACACAGTATTTCATATTTGGTTCTTATCTTGCCCGCTGCATCACCTAAAGATTAGACAGCTTATTTCACCTTAAGATTAGCCACCCTAACTCTACCTGGTGGGTGAGCAGGGTTGGCAAAACACATTGTTCTTAACCTCATAACCATGGTGTGTGTGATTATTTTAAAGCTATTATGTTGATTTTAATAAGATTTAAGTAGTTTTAGCTTTTCTTATAACTTTTTAATATGGTATTATTCATAAACATTATATTCAATATGATTTAGCAGTCATTTATATTCTTTTCATACCGCAACTACTTCAAGTGCTAATGTTGAACGAATATTGTCCTCATTTGGACTGGTTCATTGGAAACTTAGATATAGATTAGGAATAGAGAAGGCTGGGAAATTGGTATTTCATCTTAAAATTTTAAATAAAGATTCTATATTAGAAGAGTCAGATGCCTAGAGAATTTTGTCCTCCAGTACAGTAAAGAGCAAAGTTAGTTTGAATTATGATTTGTTATTATCAACAGTCTGCTAAATATTAATATGTGTTTTTCTTCTCAAGGTTAATATTTTAAAGTAAAGCTTCATTATAATTCTATTTAATTGTTCCAAGTAGTAGGTCACAGTACAATTTATAATTATCAATGCTAAAAATACATGATTACTTTATTTTTTCAATACATTATAGTTTATAGAAAGGATTTATTTGTTCATTTATAAATTTAATTTACCCTTCTTAATTATATTTTTTATACAACAAAAAATTATTTATATAGTTCCCATCCATGTACTGTATATATTGAGCAACCACGGGGACACAGCGCCTCCCTGTCTAACACCCACAATTATTTAAAAGACTTCACCTTCTTTCCTATTTACTCATACTGTTTCCCTGCTGGTCTCACAGAATGCTTTTACTGCGTTTAATAGCCTCCCTCCCACACTTGTAGTACCTCCCACACTGCTTCTCTGTTCACCCTGTAATACACCTTCTCCATATCTACTATAAATCATTAAGACCATCTCTAAGTAATAAAACCCAACAGAAATCTTATTAAAACCAAGACAAAAGGGTATAAATAAAAGACCAATGCTTTTGGTTTGGTTTAAACCATTGGTTGAAATCTGTCAACTCTTGGGGGTAAGGTTAAGTTAAGTTGGATTAGGTTAATTAAGTTAGGGTGCTTAATCTTAAAGTGAAATGAACTAGGGAACGAGGAAGGTAAACATAGTACTGCTGGCATAACCTAAGTCTCGTTTGTTTACAATATACTGCATAGTCTTCCTGTTTATTGTTTACATGTCTTAACTTCGGCTCCTACACCTTCTGCGTCCGTCCGTCGTCCTCGTGTAAGCCAAGTCGTGCAGCAGTCTCGGCTTAGCACACCATGTAGGGTATTGTAACATGGTTTGTTTAGCCACTGAGGTGTTAAATATACTTGCAAGATTAAATTATTGTAATCCATTTTTCACGGCTCATGATGTGTGTGTGTGTGTGTGTGTGTGTGTGTGTGTGTGTGTTTTACCCTGATCCATCTTCTCCCGGTCATCACTAACACTCATCTCTCGTCCACAGGTGAGCCGATGACACTGTTCACTTACAGAGCTGAAGTACAGTAAGTGTACAGTAACATAACAGCCATGTGGATGTGTGTGTGTATTTATAGAGCAAGGTGGTGAGAGAGAGAGAGAGAGAGAGAGAGAGAGAGATTTGTCACCGTGAACTCTTACGGATTTAAGAACTAACATGGTCGAAAACCAATTATTGACTAGTTTTTGCAGGAGGTACACGCTAATGACTCCACAGGGATACTTCAGATAGTATAAAGATTTTAAAATGTTCCCTAAGAATTTCTTCTGTGTTCATTCCACTGACAAAACAACAATTCAAAGATTGGAACCTTTACAAGATTCTCAGCTCGAGGGTTTTATCTGCTTCTGTTGTTACCATTTGTGTTCATGGAGAGGTGCAGACGATGCAGGCGGGTGGCAATTTGTAAAATGCGATTGGCGCTCCTCCTCCTCCGATCTCCACCCGAATTAGGGAACTCAGTTGGTAGCTCTGGCCAACCTGAATTAC